GCTGCTTCTTGCTCTTACTGAGGGCTGCTGGGAGCAGGGGGTGGGGCTTGTTGCATGTGCCCGCCCCCTGGGCTCTTTACTGCCGGAGCGCCGCTCCTGTGCGCTCCTGCAGGAAATGTCCCCTGCTCATAATAGTAAGAGTACCCACGTGTACTTGGCTACATTGATGTGGACCATCCATCACTGTCTGGGTCCAACAATGTTGTCTCATCACTTTACTGTCAGCTATGAACAAGTGCACCAAAGTGTGTTAACAAGTATATTTTCTACCATTTCCTGCAGGCATCCCCAGCTGCGTTAGCAAAAAGCGTTTTGGCTGAAGTTCCAAATCAAGTGGTGGATTATTACAATGGGAAAGGGATTAAACCAAAATGTATGTCAGAGTATGAGTCTTCCAGGACACTAGCTCCTTGAACTTCCCTGGACACTTTTCCAGCGTTCAGAAATCCTACTACTTACAACTACTGTACCTAACTGAAAATAGCACGTTTTGGTGATTTTTAACTCAATTTTTTTTGCATGTGTAGCCTAAAGGCTTGCAGGTAAAGGTTAAGCAATTGTATTGTTGGAGACTTTTTATGAAAACAAAAACAAAAATTATAACTCTTTACATTACAGCATGTCGCCTTGAAATGAAGTTATCTGTATCTGTTTTTTATACAGGTTTGTTGAAATTTTGCTAAATTTCTTATTATCTTTACACTGTAAAGCATTTTGAAACATTTATCGGAAGTTGATAGTCTTTGGGTTTATCTGCTGTGAAATGAAAATGATTTTTCAAAATGGCAGATGCATGGATTGTATTTTGCATGTTCCAGAATAAAAACATTTTGCAGTTGTTGTGATTTATTTATTTATTTCTGCCCACAAAGATGCCTGCTCAAAATTTCTCATCAATACTTCTGTGTGTCAAATAATTATTTTAAAAGATCACTTCAAACCATTATAGAAGCACTCCCTCAAAGCATGAATCCAAGATGAATGCAAGAAGCATGACCGCCCGAGATGCGCCCAAACACAGCAAGACTATAGCAGTTTGGAGAATCTAGTGAAGCTTAAGGGACTCGCATAATTTCCGTAACAGCAGGAGAATGTAGTGCAAGACTTCCTAACATGTAGGGCAAGGGTTGCCAGACTCCAGGAGGGACCTGGAGATCTCCCAGAATCACAACTGATCTCAGACTACAGAGATTAGTTCCCCCTGAAGCAAATGGGTGGGCTGTATGGAATTATACCCCACTGAGGTTCCTCCCCAAACCCCACCCTCCCTAGGCTCCACCCCCAAATCTAGGAATTTCCCAGTGCAGAGAAGGCAAATCTATGTAGACCCATTGATCTTTAACATGGTACCCATGGGTGCCACAGCCACTTGCCAGTGTGTTTCCTGACCCCTCACACTTATTTGTTCCCAAAAGCAGAGAGCCAGTCCTGGCTTTCATCCACTTCATTGGAGTAGGAGGGGTGTCAGAAGAGGCTAGAGGGCATCACCTTTGCATCTGCAATGCCCACTGCTAGCCCGTTTCCTGCTCCCAAGGAACTGAGGAGTAGCAGAGAAAAATGGCCTCTACACAGTAATATTCTAAAACATCCCTTAGACTCTGTGGTAAAGCTCATCGAGACTGGGGAGGCAGTCTAGAGTGTCATCCCGAAGTGACATCACACCCTTCCCCAACTTTTCTCTCCCCAGGCACTGCCACCAAATCTACCAGCATTTGCTGAAAAAGAATTAGGAACCCTGGTTTACAGGGACCAGTACCTAATAGGAAACAACTGCCTCCATCATAGAAGGATGCTTGGCTTTAAAAAGCCTACCATTTTGTGGAACCTCCCAACAATTTCTGATGTGACCTAGCCCCCACGGCAACCGTTTTTCGTCCAACCCTCTCTTAGGCGGCCACTACCTGTTCTCAAAATTCTAAATGTTCCCACAGGCTCTACAAATTTGGGGACACTGTTGTGCAGGAATCCTATGTGCCATGCTATGTTAATAACCATTGTCATGATTTGCTGTTACAGAACTTGGTGGACTATATTTTGGGCACATCTGACCATTTGTAACATTTTGTTTGTTCTTTTAATTTCATTCACCACATCAAATTTTATGTGGACGTACTAGAAGATCTCTTCTGCATGGCTTTGTTTGACACATCGGATCACTCAGGCTAGTTTTCACACAGGCTGTTTGCTTACTTTTACAGTTCTGACATGCCTAAACCAGAAGGAGGGTTATACCACACAGCAGGAGGAAAAACACTGTGGAAGTAATGAACACAAGAAAATGATTTGCTGGAATGCATTCTAAAACTGCCCAGAATACCCAACATGTTTCAAATACCTGTGTTCTCCCTCAAAGACTAAATACCCCTTAATGTTTTATTACGAAAAAGCTTAAATTTAGCCAAGTATCTAGGCAATCCCCCCCACACACACACACACAGGCTAGCAATTGTATAACTAGCACATCCTTATAGTTGTTTGGATTTCAACACTTTTTGCAGTATCATTTTCCATTTCAGAATGCAGGTATTTTAAATGCATTTGGAAATTTAAAGAAGTTTTTGCGATCAATTTTTCGATGCATAGGTTTTTTTGGAATATTAGCTTTGTTCTTTGGTTGTTTTTCTGTTGTTAAAAAAAGCAGTGAAACATTTGCCTTGTTTACTCTTACCGGCAACACTGCACTGTGCTTTCTCCCAGCTCCTGTACCACTTGGCTGTGTGTCAGAACCCACAGCCAACAACGAAGTACATGCATTCAGAAAAGGTAATACTTTTATTGCAGAGCTATAGATGCAGTAACATAAGCACTGTTAAGAATGGCGGCAGCCCCTTGGGCATAATAGGATATAGGGTATTCGTATGCACCCCTCCCCATAGCACTGGCCAATTAGGCAACCTCCCACGCACGGGATAAAGCTTGGAGACCGTTAGGTAGCTGAAGCTGAGAACCAACACTCTCCCACGGCACCTAGGAAAAACCCAGACGATACAACTTCCTCCTGCACATCTGTATAGATAAGCATTTCGGCGCAAAGCACAGAAAGCACAGAAAGGAATGCAGTAGCAATTAACCAGGCACAGACCGAGCTCCCCAACCCCCATGGCAGCGTAGCTGACACTGTGTCACTCAAAGGTATTTTGCAGGATGGAGCAAGGCACGGCAGGGAAGGATGAACTTTGACTCCTGGCAGAGGATCCTGAGTACAGTTGGAACATTAGCGTGCCTGTGGTTTAGGCTTTCCACAATCCTGAAGACATTTGTTGGAATTAAGTGCTATGTGGCTTAATTCTAAGTAGACATTTTAAGGACTGAGAACTTAAAGGAGTTTCATTTTAAGGACTGAGAACTTAAATTTAAGGACTGAGAACTTAAAGGAGTTTCAGGGAGATAAGACAGGGCTACTTACAAGTTAGGTAGTTGCTTTGTCACAAATCACTGTCCTGCTTTTGAGGCCATCCTTAGCACAGAACTGGCAATGTTACAGCCAGAGTTCCCTCTAAGCTGAGTTAGTGTGCTCACACATATTTGTTTTAGCTCAGGAAGAAGGCTCCAGAGCAAACTAATTTATGCAGCAGCCAAATCGTTCACTCACAACTTTAATGCCAGTAGCTCACAAAGTAAAATTTTTGCTCACAAGACTCCACAGCTTAGAGGGAGCATTGGTTACAGCATCAATCAGATGCTACAGTCTGAAACCAAAAAGCCATGTAAACCACTGACTTAAAATCTCCAGTTGGCTTTGTGTAGACTGTAGAACAATTTTTAAGTTGCACGTTTCCTCTCATCATATGTTTCCCGGATTTCAGGCTACAGTACGTGAATGTCTTCATTACTTCAGTGTAAGAAACCGTCAGGGATATTTTCAGTTCACTGTGAAATAGTGATGATTCTGAAGTTTGTGGTGGTGAGTCCCTGCCCCGCCCACATACTTTGAGCTTTTTACAAGCTGAGGCAGAACTCTACCAAATTTTGGAACTGGCTCATAACAAGAGTGTGCCCTGGTGCCATCACTCAGTAGCCAAAAAAACAGCAAATAACAACTGTGTACTGCACAAACCCGCACCAAAGTTAACAAAAAGAGACTTCAACACAAAGGTAATTCAACACATGTAATCCATCATAGGAAAATACAAAAGTCCACAATATCCCAAAGGGAAAGAACAAAGTCCAGAATAGAAATTTCTCAAAGGGAAACAATGAAGTCTGGAATAGATATCAACACTTTTCCTATGTATTGTTCAGTGTTTCGGACTTCTGGTCCTTCCTCAGGAACAAAAAGCCACTACAGGAAGTCTCATTGCAATTTCTTTACAGGCAAACTTTATTCAGTCTCTATATGGGCCAGGTCTCCTAAGCTTTAGAAAGCACCTACCAAGGTTGCTATTATGTAAGTTGCATGTTGTGGACTGTATTATTGTTGTTGTTGTTGGCCATCACTCAGTAGCCACTGCAGCGGCTCCCATGCCTTCCCCCCAAATGGGCTTGGCTGCTGAGATTATCACTAAAGGGAACCATTTCTGGGAGGCTTCCATTATCCCTTCCTGCATGTAGGGTTGCCAGCAGTCCTGGGGGTAAATATTCTATCCTTTAACAGAGTCTTAGTATGTGGAAATGGACAGTTGATGGCATGCAGGTAAATAACATCCCATAAGTGTCCATTAAAGGGACGGGATTTTTTTCTCTCCAGGCCATTGGTAACCCTAATTTGATTGTGACTGGATTTAACACAAACACACCTATAAGGGTTGCCATCTCTGGTCTGGGAAATTGCTAGAGATGCCAATCTTCAGGTGATACCTGGAGATCTCCTGATATTAGATGACCAAGATAGTTCCCCTGGAGAAAATGGCTGCTTTGGAGAGTGGACTCTA